TTTCAAAAAAAGCCCAGCCTGATCTATTTGCTATAAATTAAAATCAACGCTGCCGCTTTGCAACATAAGTAAAGTTAAATGGCTACGTTAGCAGATCTCGTTTTGCAAGAGGGATTTGTGTGCATTTTCATCCAAGAGTCCCCATCGAGAAAGACGCTTCTGTTTAAGTTAAGAAAGAATAAAGGTTCATGATCCCTGCAATACCATTTTCTATAAAGAAAATTCTCCGTCTTCTGCTACTTTTTAAGAGAAGGCCAACCTGAAGCCCGAGATTGTTCCAGCTTCAATCGCCATGTTTCTCTCTCATCTAATACACACAGCAGGACTCCTTGAAGGGTACAGATTAAACTGTTAGGGTTATTTGAAAAAGTGTCTGAAGGTTTTCTACTAGCCATAAAGAATTGCATTATAAAGATTCGTAAGTTGTAAGGGCAAGAGATGGTCCCTTCGCCTTTTGGTGCTGGACCTCATAAAAGGAAATTTCTTTTAATCACTGAAAGGTTCTTCCTATTGTCAGCCTGCAAGAACTTTTCCATATAAAGTTAAACAACGAGTTCTGGTTCAACATGTAGACTGGGAGAATACAAACTTAGGTCTTTCGGGATAGTTTTCTGCATCAAAAGAGACAAACATTTTAAGGGCAACACAATAATGTCATCAACATTGGCTAAGACAGCAGAGAGAGAATTAGGAAGACCTTTCTTTGTAGACGTAAATTAAGAAACTTCCCACAGATAGCAGGCGCTGCAGAAATTCAACATGTTTCATTTTTGAAACGCACTCCTATTTAGTTTTTTCCCCCCTCTTCTTTTATGTCTGCTGTCTTCCTTTCCTATGGTATGTATTTCTTTTAAATTTAATAGGGTTGTGGAAAAACACCTCCCAGAGGAGAATCTGGAAAATACAAATTCTTCCTTCCCATGTTTGTCTCTAGAAAGGTTTTAAGAGGTTGGGAAGCAGCAACCTTATCATTCCACTCTCCTCACCGCTTGGTGAGGATTTCAACCCTTGGTGAGTGATAATCAACTAAGATGATTAAAGGCCTGGAGACAAAAACATAAGAACGGTTGCAGGATTTGGGTTTGGCTAGTCTAGAGAAAAAAAGGACGGTGTGATGGTGGGACACATACACACACACACACACACACACACACACACACACACACACGATAGCAGTATCCCAGTATTTGAGAAGTTGCCACAAAGAGGAGGGGGGTCAACTTATTTTCCAAAGCACCAGAGGACAGGACAAGAAAATGGATGGAAACTAATCAAGGAGAGAAGCGACCTGGAATTAAGGAGAAACTTTCTGACAGTGAGAACAATTAACCAACGGAACAGCTTGCCTTCAGAGGTTTTGGGTGCTTCATCACTGGAGGTTTTTAAGAAGAGTCTGGAAAATCACTTGTCTGAAATGGTATAGGGCAGGGAAGTCAAATTTGCGGCCTGCAGGCCAGATGCGTCACATGCTGGCCACACCCACCCGTTTTAGCGAAGGGGAAAAAAGTTGAGATATGTGACAACAACGTGACGCTGCGAGTGTGACACCCCTGGTATAGGGTCTCCTACTTGAGCAGGGGGTTGGATTAGAAGACCTCAAAACTCCCTTCCAGCTCTATTCTGGTTGATGGTATTTGGGCTAAAACCAGATGCAAGCACTTTCCTGTAAAATAGACCCACAACTGTTACGGAAGGGACAGAAATCTCTGGACTTTCTCCATCTCCTGCTAGCCAGCCAATTGATCAGTAGTAGCGTATGCAGCCAGAAGGGTGTACAGTGGTAGACTTGGAAGTTATGCTGAAGCTACCATGTATGCCTGTAGACTATCTTCTTTGAAGGAAGAAGCCACAATTGCAGGAATTGATGTTGGACAGCCAGGAGGAGTGATTGAACACGATGGGACAAAGAGGACCACAGGCAGAAATAGCTAAGAACATCCTGAAGGATGTATCTTGCCACAAAAGATGTCTGAGACAGAGATGAAGCTTGCTGTGAAGTGATTCACTGGATCTGGAATTTCCAAGAGAGAGAAATAGAACAACGACCCAGATTCTGTGTAAAGAAAGATTATATTAAAAGTAAAAGCAGACTGGAAGAACTGAAGAAAACACTTCAAGAAGCAGTGTCAGATATTGGCAGACACTATCGTAACTGGACTCAGTCCTCAAAGCTAAGAAAAGCACTAAAAAGCTCAGTAAATAGGCTGGCAAGGAACTACTTGGGCTGTAGGAGTAAGACTTATAGTAGCAACACTAAAGTTGAGAAATGGTCCTTTGAGAATGAAACCCTGTTTCCACTTGTTGCCCTGCTTATTTTTAAGCCATCCAAAATAGACCCAAGATAGTTGTGGGATGATTTCATACCAAGAAGGATGGAGTTAATACAAAAGAGATATTGTACACCGGAAGAGTCAATACATTAGCTAACATCTTTAGTGGGAATTATTTTAATTAAACATGTTTCATGTATATGTTTATTCATCTGCTCCACCTTGAAGTTAGTTAACAGTTCTTAAAAGCAAGATCAGATATTAAAGCCAAAGTAGTCTATAGCATGAACACTATAAGCCAAGTTGTGGTTTGTGTTCATAGGTTATATCCAATTAGTCACAATTTTCAAGTACCCAAATACATTTGATATGTAGATTCTAGAACAGGGGTCTCCAACCTTGGCAACTTTAAGCCTGGTGGACTTTAAGCCTTGTGGAATTCTGGGAGTTGAAGTCCACCAGGCTTAAAGTTGCCAAGGTTGGAGACCCCTGATCTAGATCACACTATAGCTTGTGTGAATGAGATCGAACCCATTCATGGTTTATGCCTATATTTCTTCATTTCATTCAACCACCCATCCTACTAAATCTGAAGACAGCCAAGGGTGATGGAAATTTCAGCAGAATGTCAAACTAACTTTTCCAACTCTGATCTGCCTGGACATCTTGTCTCCCTGCTATAAAGCAAAAGGGAATTAAAGACACCACAAGATGATGTAACTTTCTGGATGTGTGGAAAAACAGTCAAAGCACCATTCAAACACAGGATACCTTTAATTTTTCAACAGCTGGAAAAGTGATACATGTTGTGTAATATGCAGAGACTGTTTAGTTCACCTTGCTCTTTTCTTATAAAGTCTTTGGGAAGATTTTTCATGAATTGGCCATTTTTGTCCCAAAGCCCATTATTACTTCATTTGCAAAACCACAGCCAGAACAATAGCTGTTAATTTTTACATACCTGTTGTAACAGCTTTCCAGTGATCTTTTAATATTGAACTCCCAACTTACCCCTGCAAAGCAAATATATTATTGTTGACCCTTTTCTGACAGCAGTGGGGCATCTCCTAATTGTCATGTTCTCTCCAGGTGTAGGTGTTTCCTGCTACCCATCTTCTCTTATCCACCTCAGACTCCCTTCTACTTTAGGATTGGTTGAAATATTCTGCATACTTGTCCTAGTAGATGTTCCAATTCTCCATTAGGCACAGTCTCTAATCTTCACATTCTTTCATATTGACAATATCTGAGGATAATTTTTCAAGAAAAGTTAGGAGTCCCTGATTTCTGCCTCAAAGCTTTCTACTTTTGAGGGTAGCCAGCATTTAAAGTTCCATAGATAATGTGCCAAATAATGGATAAAATAGTATTCACTTGAAGGTAGATATATCTATTTATCACAGTCTCCTCTGACACCCACCAGATGTGTTGGCTGAGTATTCTGGGAACTGAAATCCAAACCACCTGGAAAGTACCATCTGGGGAGGGGCTGATTGATCCCATTTGTGCTCCATTCTTCAAAGAATCCAGGACAGGGTTGCTGTAAGGGTTACTGACTGTATCTTCACAATCAACATGTGAAAAAGTAGGTTGGGCTGAGAGAAATACATTGATTGGCCCAAGATCACTTAGAAAGTGTAATGGACTGAACAGGAATTGGAACTGAGAACTCCAAATTATTTCTGGTTTCATTTTTACATTTTTTTTTATTACACTCCAGATCCACCGTGTACATATTTCATTGTGTTACCACCTGGACTCTTTATCATACAGCAGCCTTCTTTTAAGCAATACCAATTTTTTTTCTCCATAAATGGTTATATTTGCTATAGTTTTGCTCAGCTAGAAGACACAAAGGCAACTTTTCTGGCCCGCTGCTGAAATTTACCAGATGTCCTTATTGGTAAATGCTCTGTAATAATCTTAGGTGGAAATCTAATCTCATCCCATATTTTAGATTACAAATGAGACGCACAAATTATGCCATAGCAATGGCTTTGGATTTTCCATTCTGTGCAAACTCCCAACCTTATGCATGAGAGAAATGTGATGGCAGGTTGGCATTTCGACAAGAGCAAGATTTGTCTTTATGCCATCCAAACAAGAGGATGCAAAAAGAAAATGAAATTTGTGATGGGACAGCTTTATGTCTTCCCATTGTTGCAGTCCAGAAAAATTCTAACTGCAGCTGTTAAATCAGTTGCTGTACTAATTTTAATGGACCTGCTTCTCATCTGTTACTAAGTGCCTCCAGAGCTAAGTGATGAAGAAGAACAAGGTAATTTAGTATGAAGATAAAAGTAGCCTTTATAGAAACTGCTGATGTTTGGAAAACCAAAAGGGCTGATAAGAGCAATTAATGATTGTGAAATCTGCTGTCCTTATTCTATGAGACTAATAAACATGTTTAAAAGGGGAGAAAGATTAAAATACTTATTGATCGACTAATAGGTAAAGGTAAGGTTTAAAAGCAAAGCATTGACCAATATATATTATATTAATTAAACCTTTCCCATCATTGTGAATGAACAAGAACAGATAAGTTGTATCTGCAGGTTCTTGAATTGATTCTAGATTGATTGCTCTTCAGAGATCTAATGCCAATACAATGCACACATCACTTTTCAAAAAATATTTTTTGTACTCCTGAGTGAAAGTGAAAAGATGCACCTTATCTTCTTGATGTACTTACTTGTATGAAGTTACAAAGTCTACAGTTGATTTGAAGGTCTTTGGTCACCAGGGATGCGAGGACCAATATAAATAAAATGTTTTGTGATCTGCTTTAAAGGACATCTTTTTCACTTTGATTCAGAACTGTAATAATAATTTTAAAGACGGATATAATTTTTGTTAATTATTTATGGGCTGAGTGACAGCTCAGTAAATTAATTTACAATATTGGGCCAGGTAGGATATACCGAACAACAACAGAACAGTAGAACAATGCTATGATGCTAAAACGATTTTAAAGATATCTTGAAGTCTCAAGCTCAATTATTACTGACTGCATCTGTACAGTTTTCCCAACAGTATTACAAAGAGGTTTGTTGTTGTTTTCATTTGTGTTTTTTTAAAAAGATTTGCCCGTTTAGTCAGAATCTCCAGTGATTCCTCTATCCAATTATTAAACAGAGCTGACTGGGATCCTCCAAAATTGGCTAGGTACTGCTACTTGATAAAAGATATAAATCAAGGTCTCAGCCCAATTGCCTTCAATCCATACCGGAAATGTATACAAAATGCAAAGGATACAATGACCTTTGAAGTGTGGCTTTTTTAATGCTTTAGAATAGGGTTTGTCAACCTCAGCCACTTTAAGATGTGTGGACTTTAAGGAATTCCCTTACTAACATGCCAGGAAGTTGAAGTTGTTGAGAATCACTGCTCTTAGTTAATGTTGGGGACACAGTTATTGGATTATATGGATTCAGCCCTGCATTTCCTGCAACATGTCGTAATGCTGTATCCATCTCCAATTATGTAGTGCCAGTTTTCTGGGGCAGCTATGAGTCCATCTGACTCAGCTTCAACCTGACTTTCATAAATGGCAACACCAAGATGAACTTTAAGCAACTTACAGCATTTTTATCAGATTTTTTTCCGGAAGTTGTACCTGAAATTAATAATCTTTTTTTTCCAGTCCAGGTGACTGCAAAATGTGTGATCCATAGATGCTATCTGGGAAACATTGTCCGAATCATTTAGGGTACCCTGTTTGTTTTTACATAGCATTCTATCCTGACTTTGGAGTGGTGTGGTGGCCTAGAGGTGGAGCTCTCGCCTCACAGTCAGGAGGCTGTGAGTTCGATCCTAGGTAGAGGCAGATATTTCTCTCTCTCGGCACATTGAGAATGTATCTGCTGAACAAAACTCTGCATTGGCAACAGGAAGGGCATCTGGCCATTAAACACTCTGCTAGCTCCATTCAGTTGCCCACACTCCACCCTGCAAGGGATTATGGGGTCATTAAAAGGTGATGATGATTCAATCCTGACTTTATAGAGAGTCAAGGGTGATTTCTATTGCACTAGTGAAGAAATCACTATGGTGGGATTTTGTCAATCCTGATTTTACTGTGTGAAATAGTGGAGACATTGATTATCAGATTAGGTTTTTTAAAAAACTTATTTTATCTCACCCACATACTTCACACTCACTGAAATGTAGATATCTGAATATTCTTGTTAACAGCTGATTCGGAATGGTATTTTCCATCACCTTAATTCACTAGATAATATTCCAACTTTGAATGAGATATTGGATGTTTATACAGAGATTATCAAGACAGATTTACAGTTTGAACCCAAGACAGACTTCCTTTCGAATATAAGAATATTTTATTTTTGAAATTACTGACCAAATGGCCAACAAAATTTATTTGCATTAATACAGCTGTAAAAAGAAAGTAATCCTGCAAAATATTAATTTCATGTTTTCATTGAAAAGAAACACACACAAAAAAATCTGAAGCAAAATGGTTCATTTAGGACTTTGCCCAATAAGAACATGGAAAGCACATTTTTAGAGTATCTATGATATTAAATATTACTGTAGTACATTTTTATGTTAATTTAAAGAAGACAGAATGAAAAAAAATTTCAATAACTAACCGATACATAAAAGCTAAAGGGAGAAAACTATGTGTACAGGACAAATGTCATACTATATGAGTCTGAATAAAACAAATTAACATACTTTTTTTTAAAAGCGGGGGAATAACCATTATTGAGTTGCTCCTATTATATCTGATAACACACCCAGTATTTTCTAGGTCTTGTATAAAGATGAGGAAAAAAAATAATCTCTGGCTGCAAGTTTGTAATCTCATAGGCTTGTTACATTTAAAAAGAGATGAGGCTAGAAAATCAACTCAACACCCCAAACGTAATTCTTTATAACTAGTCATTAATGTTTAATGGCCAGGTAGAATAGATACTGATGGAAGCAGTTGGAGAAGAGGAATATCGAAATGACAATTGATTCCAGACGAGTTAATGGGGGATGCTGTATAATCTCCTCTCCTTTTTTTTTTTTTTGTCTCTTCAAAGCAGAAGTGAGGAAACAATACACTTTGCTAAGGAACAAAGATCCACAAGAGTTGTATTATGTTGGGAACATGAAATCTAAACTGCAGATCATGCTTCAAAATTTGTGTAGAAACATATTTTTCTCTACCTGGATAGCTGTTGTCCAACTCACGTTGGTTGAAGTCCATCAGAAGCGATGCCACGGCAGAGCATGGTACCTTTTGAACATCATCTCACAAAGTCTTCTCTAGAAAAGAAAAAGCTTTTGTTTGTATCACTAAAGCTCAGACTTCTGGTTCAAAGAGATTTAAGATATATGGACTTCAACAATTCCTCAGGCAGCATACAAAAGATATATGGACTTCCGCAATTCTTCAGGCAGCATACTATAGAAGCTATAGAAAATAGGGATAATTTCAAGGCTTCCTAGATCTGGAAGAAGCCTTCATGCTTCATTCTCAGCTTCATCCTAAAGTTTGTTGTGCACAAGGAAATATATAAGAAAAACTGTGAAGCAACAGGAAGCAGCATAGAAAATAGGACTGGACCAGAGGTGGTAGGTTCATAAACCCACCCAGATATAATGCCGTCCTATTTAGCCATGTTTTTGAGCAAACACATGCACGAAAGGCCAGGCGCATGCACGGAAGACATGTGCGCCCAAAGCGCACATGCGCTAAACTGGTGGTAAGCATTTCTGAAACCCACTGCTGGACTGGACACACCTAATCAGGGATCTGATCAAGTAGAGTTTTAAAATAGTCAGTTTCAAAAGTCCATTCCAATTTGAAAAGAAAAAGAAAAACACCAGCAGGATCATACCTGTATCGGGAACATCTCCTAAGTTGCAGAAGTCAGCAAATTGATAATGTTCCCCTGTCAGTAGATATACCGCGAAAGGGAATGCTATAGAACAGTATTTCTCAACCATGGCAACTTTAAGATATATGGACTTCAACTCCCACAATTCTTCAGGCAGCACACTAGAGAAGCTATAGAAAATAGAGATCAATTCAAGGATTCCTAGATCTGGAAGAAGTCTTCATACTGCATTCTCTGCTTAATCCTAAAGTCTGACACAGACATCCTGAAGCTCAGAAACGTGGGAATTCGGAATTCACTTTAGTTGTTGTTGTTTTGATGAACACTAGTGAGAAGATGGAGAAGGAGACAGGGACATGCTTCCAAGTATTAAAAAGGGGCTTGTTCACAAAATGTGGTTAGGGCCTATGTCAATGAAATCACGATATGACTCTCATGGAAAGTACATAATCATATATTAATGCATGTTTGTGTGTTGTTGTATATGGGGGCGGGGCGGCTTAGAGAACTATTAAATGGCTTGAAATGGAATAGAAATTGGGGTTGCCAACTCAACCTGCTAATTCTCTCTTTCTTTCTCTGTCTCTCTCACCAACAGTTGAATGGACCTCTGTAAAGGCATCTCTCAGGATCGTGTTGAAGCTGCTGAGGTTGGGCTTCTGACAACTTCAGTCTCTGCTCGGTTTCCCACACCCTGTTCTGACCCAGCCTTCACGAGCCGCACTCAACAACCTACCCGTGAGGAGAAACCCCTTTTTATTTAGAAAGGCAGAAATACACTGACAAAGCTCCAGGTCATACATCCATAGGTAATTCACAAGCCATAACAGAGTTCCCCACAGGGAGCCTCAATTAGCACTTCAATCCCAACACAAAGAGTCCTGATCAACCTGGTTAGTGGCAAGGAAATCCTGGCAAGGAATCTGCCAGAGGGAACTCTTCTGGAGCATGAATGGATGTCTCCAACAACCATGCCTCCCATACCCCTCCTCCTTATATCCCAGCCAGGGAGGGGCTTGTTAACATTTCCTTCTTTTCCTGGATAGCTGGCCCTTAGTCCTGCATTGCTGTCCTCTCCGCACTTCTCTGCGCATGCGTGTATCTGGGACAGGGCTCAGCTGTTCTTCCCCCTTGCTCAGCTCAGGCCCCGAAAACAGCTGTCTCTCTGCCTGAGTGTGAGTAGATGGGCCCTGCTCTGCATCTGACTCTGAGACCTCCTGCTCCTCAGAGCCTTCTGCCAGCTCCGACGGTAACCCAGGCATCCCCTCCGTCTCCTCTGACTCCTCTGACTCGACTGCCATCTCTGCTGGCAGTCAACGAACCACCACACACAATACAGAAGCTGCTGTTGCTGACTTTGCTGCCACTGATGCATTTGGCTTCCCTGGTCCTTGCTTCCAGAGCTAAGCAACTTGGCCTCGGTCCTCAATTACCACAGTAACTTACTATGGGACTCAGGCAGACAGGCAGAAGAGCGGGTATGTGTGTATGCACAAAATCTGATCTGCAAACTTCAGTACAACCTGGAAATTATAGATAGGTCCTATTGATTTAGGCACATAGTCATTACGGGCACATAGTCATTACAGTATTGTACCTGAAAGCAAACTTGGATAGCCTCTCAGACCTAAATAAGGAGCTTGAGAGAGATCTCTGGAGCTCCTCCAAGCACTCTGGAGTGGGGCCATAGTATTTCTACTACTGCTAAAGTATTTATACCTGGGGAAGAGCAGTGGGGTTCATCAAGCATCTCTTTGCACAGGGAGAAAAGCTCCAGATGTTAGTAGGGTTCAAGTTAATGGATCTAAACTTTAAATTCTGAACGATTAAACTACTTTCTTCTACTCTCTTACAGCTCACACAAGTTCCGTCTCTATTTGCTTTTTGAATTAAAATGTGCAGTACTCTCTCTGTGTGTGAATAATATGTGGAGCCAAATTGTTTTTAGAAACAGTAACACTTTGTTTTTTATATTATAGTGTACTGAAGTGTAGTTAATGTAGTGTAATAGTGTGGTGTGGTGTGGTGTGGTGCGGTGCGGTATGGTGTATGGTATGGTATGGTATGGAATGGTATGGTATGGTATGGTATGGTATAGTATAGTATTAGTATTAGTATTAGTATTAGTATTAGTATTAGTATTAGTATTAGTATAGTATAGTATATTTATTAAATATGATATGATATCTTTCATGGAAGACATTGTTCTCTTTCCAACTAATCAACCCCACCTCCCGCCCACAAATTTTCCTTGACAGATTTTCCAATTTCAACATATCAAATTGATCTTTTCTCACCTTTTCATTTTTTTAAAAAAAACTTACAGGATCATTCATAATGCTCTTTAATAATGGGTTTGAAATTCTTTGCTAATGACTTGAAAAGCCAGCACTGAAAAGATCGTCTGTCCTCTGATACTCATAATTAGTTTTTAAAAAAATCTGACTCACCCAGGAATGTAATAGGAAAATGCCTCTCCTTGACATGACATTACCACATAAGAGCAACTTATTTTCACCACTTGTTGCAGTTTCTCGGAACTGTCTCATGTTGATAAACAAGTCTGTCTTTACTCATTAAGAAACCACAGCAAGCCTATCAGAGTTATTAATATTTAAAAAAAATAATCCAGGGAGTCATTTATGACATGGGTGAGTGAGCTTCATCAGGGTACTTCATAAATAGTAAGATGCTACTTCCTTATCTTTGCAAATTTTTATTTGAATGGAGAGCAGTCTATTTTTAAAAAATGCTTTCTCCTATTTGTTCTTCCTTCCCTTCTTCCCTCCTTCCTTCTTTCCCTCCTTCCTTCCCTCCTTCCTTCCTTCCTTCCTTCCTTTCCTTCCTCCCTCCGAGAGTTTGATATATTTCAATAATTGCCAAAAGAATCTAGCAGTGGCAATGATGGTCAAGAAAACACTAGCCACCAGCGATATAACACATGGCTACCCATCAAATAGCCAATCTGTGTCTTGTGAAAGTAAGACATGAAAAATAGAACAGATGTGAAAAATATGGTGCTCCCAGATGTTTTGGTCTATAACTTCTAAATTGGTTTTTGTCCGTGATGAATGGGAATTGAAATCTGAAATACCTGGAGATCTCCAATCCCTAAAGTACTACTGTATACTAGGACTATTAGGAATAATCTGGTGATGGATCTCTTGGTATCTGCCAGACATCATGTTCTATCTGATTTTACTATTAATATTTTTAGATTCTTTTAATTAAAAAGAATGAGAAGCTAGCATGTCTTAAAGCAAAACTGCAGTTTCAGGCATCATATTTATTTGCAAAAATACCTCTGGGTCTCATACTGACCCCAAAGGCATTTGGATGGTTAACTAGCCTAAAAAACAGGCAAAAATAAGTTAAGCATCTTCAGCATCTACAGAAAGCAGAAGAAGGGGAAACTAGTTTTCTAGTAAACGGTTGATTTGTGAGTGGTTTTGTAACTTTTTCTCTGTGACAACCGTTTAATTTAGAGCAGCTTGTCTCAACCGTAGCAACTTGAAGATGCTGAGGAATTCTGGGTTGAAGTCTACACACCTTCAAGTTGCCAAGCTTGAGAAAAATGCATTAGAGAAATCCATGACATGTTTCAAAATTCAAACAATATCTATTGGTCCAAAAAGATTAGAGACCCCTGGAATAGAGAAATGTGGACTCAGACCTCAATTTTGACTTTTAATTACTTATCAGTTGGGTACATTGTAATGATTTCATGTTTGAAAACAAATATCAAAACAGAGCTGAGGTTCACCATGACCCTGGACCACTCAACTTATCCATAATAATCTGCAAAATTATGGGTTAGGTTGTGTTAAGAAATCACAGTTGCCACGTTAAGCTTGTCAAAGGAAGAACAGGTTAACAATGACATGAAGCAAAAATAAAATGAATAAAATGAAATCGTCAAGAGTTAAGAATAATTACCCCCGAAGAGGTGTCCTTATTTGGCTGGTTCACATCTCATGCTAAACCATGAAGTGGTTTGTTTGGTTTTAGCTTAGTATGAAGCATGTCATCATGGTTGATAACTTAATGTTGTGTGAAGTCAGCCATTGTATCCTATTCAACAAACCATGGTTAAAAATCTATTAGCTTGGTGCAATGTGTCAACCCTGTCTTTCTCTGTGTCACACTTTCAATAAATCAGCCTTCATTTGATCAATTGCTCACCCTCATAAGGAATTTCTGCTCATTCTAGAAAAGCACAAAGGAGAAAGTGCCCATAACCCTATTGTGATATCTCCGACTCGGCATACAGCAGCAGAAACAACAATGGTTCTCTCCCTCAATGCATTGGAGCATGAAATCGGTTCTACATGGCAGAATCTTGGTCTGGCAGAATGTGTAGAAGAAGTTTCTCACTTTATCCTTTGCTATTCATCATACGAGGATTGGTAGGAATCTGGTGGTAGATAGTAATACTTGATGGAAAAGTGAGGTGAAATTTTCTCAAGAAAGAAATTATGGCATTTGCAAAAATATTGAGCAATGAATATGGCATCAGTCTTATTAACTGCTTTGTCCCCATGTTCTTGGAGAAGAGGGCAAATTCTGACAGCTATCTCCTGAGACCCACCCTGGAATACAGGTAGCCCTTGACTTATGATCATAATTAAGCCAAGATTTCTGTTGCTAAGCAAGACAGTGTTGTCCCATTTTACGTTTCTTGCCTCGGAAGTTAATTGCTGCAATTGTTAAGTTAGTGGCATGGTTGTTAAGTGAATCTGGTTTCCCCATTGACTTTGCTTGTCAGAAGGTCATAAAAGGTGATCACATGACCCTGTGGCACCACAATCGTCATAAATATGAGCCACTTGCCAAGTGCCTGAATTTTGATCACATGACCATGGGGATGCTGCTATGATTGTAAGTGTGAAAAACAACCAGAAATCACTTTTTCATTGCCATTGTAATTTTAATGGTCACTAAACAAATTGTTGTAAGTCGAAGACTACTTTACTACTTAAATCTGTTCTCAGAGAAGTTAAATCCAATGCATTGAATCAGCTAGAAATGAATTGTTCTGAATGACTTTAAATGTTCAAGATAGTGAACGAATCAGTTAAAGTGGAATCCCAAAATTTAAAAAAATGTTTTGAATTTCTCCATACCTTCTTGTTTTACTGGATCATTGACTTTAATGAACCACAAGAAAAAGGGTGGGTTTAGGAAGGAAAAATGATAAGAACAGTTGTAAGATGCACTGAGAAAAGGAAGGCTGAGATGGATGAAATAAATAAACATGTTTCCTCCTAGATTTTCAGGCCTAAAAAGATTCTGACAAGAGTCCATTGTAAAAATCAGTTTTCCTTTTAAGGATTTTTGCCAGGGTAATCCTGTCCACATTTAATCAGGATAAATATCCCCTTATTATGTAAGAGGATTCATTCCCAGTATTATTCATAGAATTTCAATTCCTGAAATCTACAGTGTTTACTTCTCAGTAGATGCTTCCATGAAATTGTGTCCTAGTTTGCACTGCGCACTAAAGTTGGCTAAAGTGTGTTACATTTGTGGGAACCAGGTTACATCTCTTAAAACATAACTTGGTTTATTTTAGGGGTCCCACATGTTCCACATACATATCTTGTATGCAATTGGCCTGAAAATTACAATACAAAGAAGGCAGATGGGCCTAATCAGGAAACTAAATGTACTGTATTGAATGTGTACGTATGAGCGTCTTTTCAAATAACAGTTGATTTATAAGGGAAAAGGTATTTAAATGTGCTTTTTAAAATAATTCCTTTATAAGTTAAGGACTACGAATAGAGCCAACTGAGCAATGTCAGCTGAAGTTGTAGCCCCTGAATGGTGTTTCTCTTCCCAACAGCTTTTCCTTGTAACACAACACTCTTCTCTCTCCTGAGCACAATCCAAACTGAGCAGGGGGAAGAAACTCAGCGGATTCTCTCTGGGGAATTTGGCTTTTTGATTTAAATATGTTCTTCTAATCTCACACTTGTTCTTTAACTTGGCATCTCAGGGGAAAGAAAAAGAGGCTTTTCTTAGTTGTTTACAGCAGTGTTTTTCAAATGTGGCAACTTTAAAATGTGTGGACTTCAACTCCCAGAATTCCCCAGTCAGTCCTGCTGGCTGGGGAATTCTGGGAGTTGAAGTCCACACATCTTAAAAGTTGGCCACATTTGAAAAACACTGGTTTATAGCTTGTCAGGGAAAGGATTTGCTTTTTCCCCATTAAATGGTGGTCTGTCAGTGGGTTGTTTCCCCCCACCAGCCATTTACTTAGGGACTTCATGTTAAAGGCACTACATGAGTGACCATGGGCAGAAACCAGAGAAGGATAAAATCAGTTTGAAATATGGCATCTGTGAGGCCATTTCCTACAATTTTGTAAAAAAAATAGTTTGCTTACCTTGTGGCAGCCGAAATTCTCGGCAAAGGGATACGATCTGCAATGTTGGGGAACATGTAATCCTTTCCCTAGGAGACGCACAACTCCTTTAATGACAGATTCATGGGCGTTGAGGGAATATTTTGCCCATTTTCTGCTCTGCTGCAATGGGAAGCCGCCTTGTGTATTTTGAGGCCAAAAATATACTGTTCCTGTAGGTTTACGTGAGTGTTTCGTGGCAGGAATTCTATTTCGTATGTCCTGCGGCAGCTCCCTGAGGCTGGCTAGGAAGTGAAATGTAAAAGTGTAATACTCATAATTTCTTGGTTGATTGTGAAAAAGGACTCTCTTTTTTCTCTCACAGAAAAAGGCACTTCTTTGATTCCCCTCTCCTTTTTTTTTAATGTTTACATCTGGTTGATGGTAGCCACAGCCAACTACTTGAAATACCTGTGAGCCTTGTGGGAGCGGGATGATTTTGTATTGGGCAGAGGAAGGAAAAACATTTACAATTAGACAACCTCAAAAAACTAGAAGTCAAACTTTCCCAATATAAAGTTTTCCCCATAAGTTGGATCTATTACTCTCATGCTCAAAATAGGAGGAGGAAGTTGTGTTAGATACATCCACTGCCTTGAGTTGTTTGTAAAAATAATAAAGACGGGATATAAATAAACAAATAAATGCTGGCTGCGAATTTTGGGAGCGATGGTCCTCAGCACATCTGGAAGGCACAATGACAATGAATTTCAGAAACAGTAATACAAATATTGTAGTAATATATGTCTCCATGTGTTTCTTATAGCCAGAGTAAGAGGCTGAGAGGCATAAACCAAGTTCTTTCACTACAAACTGTGGAGTGAATCAGTCATTCAAAGACTCCAGATATAGAACAAAGATAATATTAACATGAATTGGCCGGGTTCAGGCATCACGTAAAGTGAGAGATTGACAATCCATGGCCCAGTTTAATGTGTACAGAATGCACTACCAGAAAATGCAGGAAAACCACAGATTGTCAGCAGTGTTTTTTTCTCACTTCTTCCCTTTCCTGAAAGAGTTGTGCCAAGTTCCACAAAGTTTTAACCTGACCAAATCCTGCAGAAGTATTACAGAAGCTAAACATGTACAACTCTAAACTCCAGTCACTGGAAATTCCCCTTATGGCCTTGCAAAGCTAAAATTATAACTAAAATCATAACAGTGTGCCCCAAGCCTCCTCCCCTAATAGTTTAGCTTTTGCTAAGGCAGAACATCGGAAGTTGTGTAAACCCTGCTAAGGTGATGTGTGTGCACCATGCGATTTGGTTTAGAGCAGGAAAGGCAGCTTCGGGCCTGCAACCTGCAGAATGCAGTCCTCACTTTTGTGCCCCATAGAGTTTCCCTAAATGTTCTGTAGAAATTCAGCACCCATTTGTCAGCACCCATCCCTCTCCTAGAAGGATGAAATATTTTGAGGAATATTTTTTTAAAAAGACAGAATATTATATTTCCCCAAAGGGAGAAATGGAGAAACATGTATTTTTAGAGGCAGAAAGCAACCATCACTTTCCTTAATAACCCACAGCAGATGTCAGCACAAAGAGCTTATTGAAAAAGGAAGACAAGTATCTAGATAGCTCTATTCATAGGCAAAGCAAATACTGCAGGCAGAAATCCATTCAAGACAGGATATTTTGAAATTCCCTGCAGCAAAGTCTGAACAAAGGCAGAGTGATGGGATTAGCCCTCACTAAAGATCCAAAAGAGGACAAAAACCATTAAGCCACAATAGGAATTGCCCAACACTCTTTCAGAACACAAGCCCCTTCATTGCATCATCTCAGAGCAGTCCAAACTCCAACCAAACCTGAGAGCTCAGACCAACACCTAGGATTGTCATTTTCTCTTTTGCCTATATGACCCCTACATGACCCCATAGGAATCTGGCAACAGCCAATAGAATACATGTTCTTGCAGAGGAACAGGAAGCTCAAGTGCAAAGTCCAAAAAAAGTATAACCCCCTCCATTCTTAACTCCATTTTGTCAGCTGCACCAGAACCATAAATGATTCTGTTCATCATTAAACCATCTTTCCAATCAGCCTCCATGTTTCCAGTGCCTATCTCCCAGCTTAGAACTGAACCAGATGGATATTTCTTCCCACAGTACCATTGTACTAGGAGGATAAAACTAATGTTATCTGTGTGTGTGGTTTTTAGTCCTCAAGAAATGAGTTGAATGAATGGATTCAACCATACAGAAATTTAATGTGCCTATTTTGAAAAAATAAAACAAAAACCTTGAATAAAGGGCTGAATATAGTCAGGCTGACCTCCAGGGAGGGAGGGAGGGAAAGAGGGAGGGAGGGAGGGAGGAAGGAAGGAAGGCTCATTGTGAATTTTAAGAAAAAATAATTACTACCAACCAGTGGTGGGTTCCTCCCGGTTCCGCCTGGTTCCGCCGAGCCAGTAGCGGTGATGGTATGACATCACCGAACTGGTTCTGCCCCCCCGCCCCCGCCCACCCTGCATTATTCTTACCTTTTATTTGGTCCCACCCCCAATCTATTGCTGTCTCCTGAGTCCCAGCTGATCGACTGGAAGGAAAAAAATTGTTTAAACTCTTGCCCCGGGGCTTCAAAGGGCCGCCCTACAGCTGATCAATGTTAAAAGGCATTGTGATGGTAGACCGGTGCCTCCAAAAACAAATGAGTAGACCGGTGCCTGCAAAAATAAATGGGTAGACCATTGCCTCCAAAAACAAATGAGTAGACCGGTGCCTTCAAAAACAAATGGATAGACCTTTATAGCTCTGCATGCAGTTAAAAGCCTGGTAGACCAGTACCTCTGCTAAATCCTAAAGAATTGTCACATGACCATCAAGCCACTCCCACAAAATAAGCCACGCCCACAGAACCGGTAGTAAAAAAATTTAGAACCCACCCCTGCTACCAACCTGCCTTCCATTGAGGACCTGTATACTGCACGAGTCAAAAAGAGGGCTGGGAAAATATTTACAGACCCCTCACATCCTGGACATAAATTGTTTCAACGCCTACCCTCAAAACGACACTATAGAGCACTGCACACCAGAACAACTAGACACAAGAACAGTTTTTTCCCGAACGCCATCACTCTGCTTAAACAAATAATTCCCTCAACACTGTCAAACTATTAATTAAGTCTGCATTACTATTACTATGAGTCTTCTCATCATTCCTATCACCCATCTCCTCCCACTTATGACTGTATGACTGTAACCTTGTTGCTGGTATCCTTACGATTTATATTGGCTGTTTCCTAATATGATTTGATTGCTTATTTGAACCCTACGACTATCATTAAGTGTTGTACCATATGATTCTTGACAAATGTATCTTTTCTTTTATGTATACCGAGAGCGTATGCACCAAGACAAATTCCTTGTGTGTCACACTTGGCCAATAAAGAATTCTATTCTATTCTATTCTATTCTATTCTATTCTATTCTATTCTATTCTATTCTATTCTATTCTATTAAGGCTACTTGTTCTACCTGTTGTTATTAATTAGAACTTTATATTTAATTTTGGTTGCATATTTTCATAGTGCTTATTTTTATTTCTACATCTTGCAAATCCTTTGCATTTTGGGTTATTAGACTAATGTCATCAGCATAGCACAGGTTACTGATGTTTCTTCCTCCAGTTTTAAAACCACACTCTTCTTCCTCCAATCCAGCTTCGGTTAATATATATTCAGCATATAATAGATTGAAGAAATAAGGCGAGAAGGTTGCCTCACTCCTTTGCTGGGCTGGATCCAGTCTGTTTCACCATGTTCTGTCTGTATTGTGGCTTCCTGACCTGTATATAGATTTCTCATGAGGACAAAGAAATGTTCTGAGAGTCCCATTTTTCTAAGTGCATTCCATTGCTTCACATGAGCAAGAGAATCTTTTTATAACCAAAGAAGTACATACTGATTTCTTTGAGGTATTTTTTTGCTTTCTCAACTATCCAGCATGCATCAGGCATAACATCTGTACAGGTAGTCTTCGACTTACAATTCATTTAGTGACGATGAAGTTACAGCGTCACTGAAAAAAGTGTCTTATAACCGTTTTTCACATTTACAACTGATGAAGCATCTCCATGGTCATGTGATCAAAATTTAGACACTTGGCAAGTGGCTCATATTTATGACGATTGTAGTGTTCTGGGCTCATGTGATCACCTTTTATGGCCTTCTGACAACCAAAGTCAATGCGGGAACCAGATTCATTTAACAATGGTGTTACTTAACAAGTGCAGTGATTCACTTAACAACTGTGGCAAGAATGGTCGAAAAATGGGGCAAAAATCACTTAACCGCTGTCTCACTTAGCGTCAGAAATTTTGGGCTGATTGTGGTCGTAAATCGAGGATTACATGTATACATAACCCTATCTAAGCCTAATGCAAACTCGCAGTGTCACGTTGCTGTCATGTGACATATTGTGACGTTTTCCCCCTTCACGGAAGTGAGGTGGGCATGGCCTGAGCGTGACACATCCGGCCTGCAGGCTGCCAGTTTGACACCCCTGACCTAATGGAAGAAGAAGAACTTAATGTGAAGGGTCCGAAAGGAGCATTTTCAAGAGGTAACTGGACTTTCTTCAAAGAAAAACTGGAACGTCCAGTTGCCTCTTGAAAAAGCACCTTTAGGCCTATTCAGTATAATGCAGGTGAGGCTGGAGCCATTTCTTTCTTTCTTTTTTTTTTTTTATTTTAAAAACAAACTTTATTCAATATAAAGAGATAAAAGATTGTACAAAACGTTCTTAACTCTAAAAAAGAAGATACAATTCTAAATTACATATATATACTAAATATACATATATACTAAAACTGACAAACAGGATTATCTATCTATATTTAAACATGTAAATACATATATACATTAACCTTGATTCCTTAATGACGGTGTAATTTTGTTATCCTTAATTTCTTACTGTATTTGACTTTAATTTTTTTTCTTTCAATTGATCCATTCATACCATCTGTCCCATATTTCAAACTATTCCTGTTAAATTAGAAAAAAACTTTTTTACAAATTTGAATAAATTAATTGCAAAATTTATACGGGAGGGGAAAAAACCAAGGATAAATTTAAAAATATTACAAGACGATAAAACCGGAGGAGGCTTTGGCCTACCAGCCTGG